CTGCTGCCTTTTCTGAGCTGCTGCCTCTCCGGCACTCAGCAGCCTCCCTCCTTGGAGCATCCCCTTGCACCCGTCTGACACGTCCGAGGCCAGAAGGCCACCAGCCAAGCCCCGCCGTGTGTGGAGACCGGCGTTCGGGCTGACCTTCTCACCTCTCCTTCCTTTTGATAGCCGCGGTTCCTGCCCCATCTCCCGTGGGAACATCTCCGGCTGGCGTGAATGCGCCCAGCTTGCCAGCCCCCCACGCTGCAAACCCACAGCCGAGCCCCGGGAGCAAGCTGTGGCTTCACCCATCACCCTACTCCTTGGGTGCCAGGGGACAACCCACGGGTGGCCATCGCTGTGGGTGAGCCTCGGAGCTGCCCTGCTGCTGTGGTCCTGCTGCGAGCTCTGGCTCCTGAGCTCTCTGGCTGCTCTGGAGAACATCCGAGCTCCAAGGTGCTGGCTGCCGCACGGGGCTGTGCTCCCTGCCCTCCCTGAGCCAGACCTTGCCGTGAAGAAGGCGGAGCCTGCTGGCTGGTGACCAGCACTGCTGCATCCCTGGTGCTGCCGGGCTCTGCACTGGGTCCCACAAAGCCAGTCCTGGTTGCTGTGTGTCGGTGGGATGAAGTGCAGTAACCAGCTTGACTCTCTGCCCCCGGCTCTGATGCACAAGGTCCTTGGCCAGGGAGGAGTCCTTTCTTGTGGTCATCCAGAGGTGCTTGCTGCTGTGTCAAGGGTTTGCTGTGTGTGACCTGCTGGGAGGGATAAGCGGGGTGTCACTTTGCTGCTCTTTGCACCTCAGCTTTGGGAAAGGTTGGGGAGATGGACTTCTGCCTCTCACCACGGGTATCGAGGGCTTATTTTTCTGTTGTTCCTCACTGTCACTGCTGCCTCTGAAATGCAGCACCAAAAGCACCCCAGATGCAGAGAGCTAGGACTTGCTGCAACCCATCGCAACTCCCTTGGACAGCAGTCCCTGCTGTGCTCCTGAGAGCAAAATGGCTGGCTCCACCGGCTTCCTGCCAGCTGACTCACAGCGGGGCACCCATGGCTCTAGAAATCCGGTTTGGTTTGGATGCTCCTCTGCCTCGGTTGTGCGGGATGACGCATCCAAGTCCTTGGCAACAGCAGAGCTGAGGCACTGAATATTTTGGTTCTTGAGCTGCACGCTCTGGAGTGCCTCACCTGGAGGGAGTGAGGCTGCAGAGCCCACCCCAGCCTGGCTTCCCCTCTGGGACCTGAGGCTGCCCTTGAAGCTCTGAGCTAGGGGACCCTCCCACCTCAACCCTTCCGTTCAGTTAAGAAGCACAGCTAACGCTTCCTCCTCCTCCAGAGCTAATTTAGGGAAGCTGAGCCTCAGAGCATGGCAACTGTTCATTGCTGCAAATCCCCCCCCTTGCTGGGCACCCATCCTCAGCGCTGTCACCTCCTCAGCTCCCAGCGTCTGGGTGATGCTCTGTCATCTCAGCCCTGTTGTTGGAGCAGCAACAGGGGCCATACCAGCAGCTGCAGGGCTCCAGCCCTTTAGCCAAGTGGGCAATGGAGAACCTGCTCACTGGATGCTTCCCAGGGCAGTGCAGGGAACATGCTGCTCTGGTGTCCCAGGCTCCAGCAGATGGGTCTCCCTCTCCATGGGCCCCTGAGGTGGGCAGTGCAGTGACGGGAGGTGTAGCTGCAGATTTGGGAGCGGGCAGCAGACTGGGATGGACAAGCTGACAAGGGCCTGGGCTGCCCTGCCTGGGTTGTGCACCACCTGCAGCGATTGCATTTGTGGGCCCGGCCGGGATCTGACCCTGCCTCCCCCTCCCCAGCGCGAGTGCATCTCCGTCCACGTCGGCCAGGCCGGCGTCCAGATGGGCAACACCTGCTGGGAGCTGTACTGCCTGGAGCACGGCATCCAGCCTGATGGGCAGATGCCCAGCGACAAGACCATCGGTGGAGGGGATGACTCCTTCACCACCTTCTTCTGCGAGACCGGGGCTGGGAAGCACGTCCCACGGGCCATCTTCGTGGACCTGGAGCCCACCGTGATTGGTGAGTGCACCTCAGCTGGGCAGTGACAGTGGTCAGTATCTCTAGAAAGAAGTCACTGCGGGACAATCCCCAGGGTGGCTCCTGCAACCCTTTCCCAGGGACAATTAGAAATGCTCTGACATTATGCCAACCTCTCCTAGATGAGGTTCGGGGAGGAGTCTACCGCCAGCTCTTCCACCCTGAACAGATGATCACCGGTAAGGAGGATGCTGCCAACAACTATGCCCGTGGGCACTACCCCATCGGCAAAGAGATCATTGACCAAGTGCTGGACAGGATCAGGAAGCTGGTAAGTGATCATAGAGGGGGTACATGTCCCCCTGAGCTGGGCTCCAGCACCCTGCTGGGGGTGGGAGCATGGGGTGAGCCCTGCTGTGCCCTGGGAGGGATCTGTGGCTTCCTAAGCCAAAGTTTGAAACTTCCCTCTGCAAAATCAGTACTTGGAGTAATCGTACTTGGCTCTCTCTGCAGGCTGACCAGTGCACAGGCCTCCAGGGATTCCTCGTGTTTCGTAGCTTTGGAGGTGGCACCGGCTCTGGATTCACCTCCCTGCTGATGGAGCGACTTTCCGTAGACTATGGAAAGAAGTCCAAGCTGGAGTTCTCAATCTACCCTGCACCACAGGTCTCCACTGCCGTGGTGGAGCCCTACAACTCCATCCTCACCACACACAGCACATTGGAGCACTCAGACTGTGCCTTTATGGTGGACAATGAGGCCATCTATGACATCTGTCGCAGAAACCTGGACATCGAACGCCCAACCTACACCAACCTGAACAGACTCATCAGCCAGGTCGTCTCATCTATCACAGCATCGCTGCGTTTCGACGGGGCCCTGAATGTCGACCTGACCGAGTTCCAGACCAACCTGGTGCCCTACCCTCGCATCCACTTCCCCCTGGCCACCTATGCTCCTGTGGTTTCGGCTGAGAGAGCTTATCATGAGCAGCTGTCAGTGGCCGAGATCACCAACTCCTGCTTTGAGCCAGTCAACCAGATGGTGAAGTGTGACCCTCGCCATGGCAAGTACATGGCCTGCTGCCTGCTGTACCGTGGGGACGTGGTGCCCAAGGATGTCAACGCTGCCATCGCCACCATCAAGACCAAGCGCAGCATCCAGTTTGTGGACTGGTGCCCCACGGGCTTCAAGGTGGGCATCAACTACCAGCCGCCCACGGTGGTGCCGGGGGGGGACCTGGCCAAGGTGCAGCGCGCCGTCTGCATGCTGAGCAACACCACGGCCATCGCCGAGGCCTGGGCTCGCCTGGACCACAAGTTCGACCTGATGTACGCCAAGCGAGCCTTCGTGCACTGGTACGTGGGCGAGGGCATGGAGGAAGGGGAGTTCTCTGAGGCACGGGAAGACATGGCCGCTCTGGAGAAGGATTACGAGGAGGTGGGCCTGGACTCCTACGAGGATGAAGAGGAGGGCGAGGAGTAGAGAAGCCCCTGCCAAAAAGGACTGTGCTCCTTCCCCGTGTTACCTGCAGAAACCCTTTGCAATAAACCGTTTCAGAGCCTCCATGTCTCCCACTAACCCCCCAGCTGTATTGGTTTCTTGCCAGGTCAGGTGTGTGGTGAGTGCTTCAGCTCTGCTGCTGGTGCTGCCATGCATCCTCCCAGCGCTCTGCTCAGCTCCAACTTGCTCCTCACATAGGTAAGAGCCCCATACCAGGGGGATATGGCCTGGACACGTGGCATGCTCTGGGGAAGTGCCCAAACGTGTCCATCAAAGGGATCCGGAGGAGTGCTGATGACGTAATATGGGAGAAGCACCTCCCTCAGGCATGGTGTCCTCTGTCTGGGAGCACCTCTACCCACTCCCTGCCTGGCTCTGCCAGTGCTCTGCCATCCCCCTGGGGCACATGGCCCCGCTCTGCCTGCCCCAGGTCCTCTTCTGCATTGTTCCCATGCTGAGCCCTATCCCTGCCCTGCCTGGCAGTGAGACGTCTGAACAGCAGCTCCCAGCTCCAGCTGCACAATGGAGATTTCTGTTACACATTATCCAGCACGCTAGGTCCAGAGATTAATTTTCCCTGCTTATCACTAATGCTCCAGCTATATTGACCCACAGGGGCTGTCCTCCCCTGCCCTCCTCCTCCCAGCATGCACCCGTGTCAGCTGGAGGAGAAAGTGTGAGCCAGCCCAGGGCTGCACAGATTGCTGGAACACAGCCAGGCGCTCGTCCCACTGCACAGGGCTGCTGGCACTGTTCCCTGTGCCCGTGACCAGAGCACTGGGCTCAGACTGAATGGTGCCTGCTGCTGCGCCAAAGCAGGAGTTGCTGCCCCTCATGCCAGGCACTGCTTTGATCCGCTCCTTACTGGGGTTTGGGTGTGGGGCAAGGAAGGACTCTGCTCTTCCAGGAGTAATCCTATTGCAGAGACACCTTCTCCCTGTGTATTCACAGAGACTTGACTCTGCTGCTGGAAGTACATGGGAGTTGGAACTGTGCCCTATTGCCTTTTTCTAAAGGTTATCCTGCCCCTCTGATCTGGACCCCACTGCAGAGGGACATAGCAGTGTCTCCTGGCATGCTACTGAGCAACAGAGCCCCCATCCCCATGGGCAGGGATAGCCGTGTGAGCCCACACCCTGGCAGCAAGGACAGAGCCCTCTCCCCGCTGCATGCAGCATGCAAGGCTGGGGCGCTGGGCTCTGCCTTTTGCCCAACCAGCAGCCAGGACGCTGGTCCCTGCATCCTCAGCAGCCCTGGCCCTGGCAGCGGAGGCTGTGCTAGCCAGGCTTCCCTGAGTGTAGTCACAAGCAATTAACAGCAAATGGGCTGCAATGACCCTCTTTTTTGCAGCTGGGCCAGCCCCCCAGCCCGGATTTGTGCTGATCTGCGGAGACATGCGGCACTGCCTGCTTGTCCCTACCGGGACCCTTGGCCAGAGGTTCCCAAAGTACTGATGGCAAAGGGAGGTTTGGGGGCACTCCAAGCCCCAGAGCCTGACACACGTCTCTAACAGGTTTCTCCTCCTTTCTCCTGCTCTAGAGGCCCAGGGGGTCTTGGGGTGACCCTAAATCCCACTGGGCCTGCAGTACGGGGTTGCTAGTGGCAGAGCAGGGTAGGGGGCTGCTGTACCTGCTCTG